TTCCATGACGACGACTTTGAGTTTGAGCACTTGCGCCAAGGCTGCTGCCCGTACTGCCGCGTCGACGAGTACAGCGACCACGCGTAATAGTATCAACTTGATAATTTGCGCGACTCAACAAGGCGATTGTATACACGAAGTATGAGGAGGTTCGGACGGTGCATGGAGTCGCAAGCGCCAATACTAGACAACCGGTACCATTGGCACCGTCATCGGCACCGTGCCACGTCATGCCAGTAGTAGCGCCTCGGAAGAATGCAAGGCAAAATGGATGTTTTTCTGATTATAGCAAAACGTGGTGGTGGTATGAGCGCAGAGTCGGATCCAAGACGAGACGACGTCACTTTGTATGGAGGCGCGAGGCTCGTTTCAATATCGGGTTCAAATCAAGGACCAACTCGGGGGGAAAGCGCCCGGGAAGGGCCGTGTCGTCCGGCAGCGCCAAGAGACGGCGCCCATCCATTCGCACGCGCGTAGCGGCCGTGATCGGAATCGGAGCCACGAGGTCTGGGGCTGGCCCTTCAAGCTGGTTGTTGGTGATCGAGAAAAGCTTGTACTGGCGTACGCTCATGTCAGGCGGGACGAAGACGCAGAGGACATAGCGAATGCCTGGAAATGCGCAGTATCGCAGCACCTTGGCGTTCATACTTCGCCAGCCTTGAGAGACACCGACCTCGACCTTGAGCGTATGGAACTCGTTCCAGCGGACTTGGGGAGGTTTGATGGCGCCAATGTCGGGATCTGGACCGTAGCTACAGTCGGGCTCTAGCTTCGGGAGCTTGTTTGCCGCTGGCTCGTCGGTCGTGTCGACGTACACGTCGCGGTGCGCCCAGAGGACTCGATGCTCCGTCCCCGTGACCTCTGGTCTCGTGGCTTCCTTGATCGCGTCGTCGATGCCATCCGCAATGCTGCCGTGAAGTCCACCGCTCATCTCGATGAGGAATATCGAGTTGTCTCGAAACTCAAAGTGGCGCGATTTCATCTCTTGCTCTTCCGACTCGACGTAGCGATCCCAGTCGGCCTCGGTCGCAGAGCACACCCGGTAGCCGTCGTTGTCGATGACGTCGAGGGCGGCCTGCGCGGCTTGCCAGTCCAGAGCCTCAATCGCTCGGTTGATGCGCTTCACAGGGTCAGCGCGGGGCGCGCGTCCGGCTGGCTTGGCGCCCGTCGCCTTCGTCGAGCACGCTACGGCGATCATGTTGGCAACTGACGAACCTTGGTCTCAATATCCGGATATCGAACGATCTTTTTGTGTGCAGCCATCTCATTGGCTATTTTCATGAAGTGGTATCCGGATTTGGGCTCGAAATGGCGTGTCATGCGAGGAAGCATTCCATTGGCTAATATTAAACCCATTGATAGGCCTAGCGCGCGTCCGATTGGCGGATGTAAACTTGCGTGCATCTAGATACGGGCTCGTTGAAGACATAGCTCTTTACAAAAATCACCCAAACTGGACGGTGGGGCTTTTTCGACAGATCGCAAAATCTTGTCAAGCGTCGCCCGACCAGTCGCCGCAGCATGCGCACGAACCTTGCGTGGTCCGACAAGGTGCCCGACCGCAATGGCACGAAAGTCGTCGTGCAGGACCTGGCCTTCCACCCCGACGGCTCGCAGCTCGTCGCCGCCATTGGCAACCGGGTCATGATCTACGACGCCACCAACGGAACGCTCTTGCACTCGCTCAAAGGTACGCCTCTTTGGCCGACACCAGCGACGTCATCGTACATGTACTCCTATCTAGGCCACAAGGATACGGTGTATACTGTCGACTATGCACACGATGGCAAGCGGTTTGCGTCCGGCGGCGCCGACAACGTTGTCATCATCTGGACCGACAAAGCCGAGGGCATCCTCAAGTACACGCACAACGAAAGCATCCAAAAGGTCGTGTACAACCCGCAGTCGCAGTGCCTCGCGAGCTGCACGTCCGCCGACTTTGGCCTCTGGTCGCCCGAGCAAAAGTCGGTCGCCAAGCACAAGGTTGTCTCCAAGATCCTCTGCGCGAGCTGGAGCATTGACGGCGAGCTCCTCGCGCTCGGCCTTTTCAACGGGCAGATCCTCTTGCGCGACAAGCAGGGCGGCGAGAAGGCGCTCATCGAGCGCAGCGCGCCGATCTGGACCATCTGCTGGAGCCCGTGCCGGGACGACGAGGTCGAGATCCTTGCGGTCGGGTGCTGGGATCGCACCATGTCGTTCTACCAAGCAAATGGCACGCCCGTGGGCAAGGACCGCAAGCTGCAGTTTGATCCGTGCTGCGTCAGCTACTACCAGTACGTCGTGTCATTCTATGCCAAGTTGTCTTGTTGTTGAGACGGTCGTCCGTCTAGCAAGGGCAAGTACCTCATTGTGAGCGGCTCCAACCACAAGGCGAGTTTGTTTACTAAAGAAGGCATCTTCCTCGCCGAGTACGAACATTCGAATTTGATTTCCATGTGGTCTAATGCAATATGTGCGTAGCATCTGCGACACGGGCGCGTGGGTCTGGGCCGCCAAAGCACGACCAAAGGCCAACGCGATCGCGATCGGCAGCGACGACGGCACGATCGCGGTGTACAATATTGTCTTTGGCACCGTGCACGGCATTTTCCAGGAACGGTATTCGTACCGCGAGAACATGACCGATGTCATTGTGCAGCACCTCATGACCGACCAAGTACCGTTCAAAAATGCACAAAATCCATTAAAAATTCATGAAAAATCCTAGAAAGTCCGCATCAAGTCGCGCGACTACGTCAAGAAAATTGCCGTGTACCGGGACCGCCTCGCCGTGCAGCTCTCAGACCGCATCATCATTTACGAGCTCACGAACGAGACGTCGTACGACATGCACTACCGCGTCCGCGAGCGCATCCAGAAGGACCTCCCGTGCTCCCTCCTTGTCGTGACGTCACTGCATTTCATCTTGTGCCAGCAGCGCAAATTGCAGCAGTACAATTTCGCTGGCAAGAAGGAGCGCGAGTGGATTTTGGAAGCGCCGATTCGGTACATCACCGTGACGGGCGGCGCCAAAGGCAAGGAAGGTCTCCTTGTCGGCCTCAAGGACGGCAGTGTATTCCAAATCTTTATCGACAATCCATTCCCAATCCCGCTCATCAAGCAACCCAACGCGATCGTTTGCCTCGATATTTCGGCCAAGTACGTCCCTCTTGTTGTTGAGTGGGAATGAACCATGGTGGCTGTAGCCGGGAAAAGCTCGCGGTGGTCGATGACAGCAACAACTGCCTCGTGTACAACTTGGTACTATTTTATAGCCAATTTTTTTGTGGAGTATTAGGGATTTATGCTGAGTGTTGCGACATGTAGGTGACGAAAGAGCTCTTGTACGAAGAGAAGGGCGCCAACAGCGTCGCGTGGAACAACGAGTGCGAAGACATGCTCTGCTTTGCGGGCAACGGCCAACTCAAGATCAAGACGGGCAACTTTCCCGTGCACAGCCAGCGCATGCAGGGCTTTGTCGTTGGTTTTACTGGCTCCAAAGTATTTTGTCTGCACGCGCTCACCGTGCAGGTATCTATCTATCCATGTGTCGATGGATCGATCCATTCCACGTCTGGATACAAAGCAAGGATATTGAGTTTGTCTCGTAGGCCATTGACGTACCGCAGTCGGCGCCACTCTATCGCTACGTCGAGCAAATGGAGTTTGGTCTTGCGTACAGCGTCGCGTGCCTCGGCGTCACAGAGAGCGACTGGCGGTTTCTCGCCTGGGAAGCCCTGTACGTTTTATCTATCAGTCTATCAATCTATCAATCGTGTATCAAGATGACTATGGTAGAAAACACATGAACTTTGAGATTGCGCGCAAGGGCTTTGTCCGCGTCCGCGACATTCGCTACATTGAGCTGGTCAACAACCTCGAAGCGACGCGCAAGGCGCACGAGGCCACGTCGCCCGCGCCCGACGTCGACAAGAAGCACAAGATGCTCATGCAAGCCGAGATCCTCGCGTACCAGGGCAAGTTTCAGCTGGCGGCCAAAGTGCTCATGGACGCCGACGAAGTCGGACGCGCGATCCAAATGTTCTCGGACCTGCGCATGTGGGACGAAGCCAAGAAGTTTGCAGCGCAGAGCAAGGCGATCGACGTCAAGCAGCTCGTGTTGGACCAAGCCAAGTGGGCCGAGGACGTCCACGACTGGCGCGCGGCTTCGGAAATGTACCTTGCGAGCGGCAACCTCCTCAAAGCGGTGCAGATTATGGGCGCGCGCGGCTGGCACAACGACTTGGTCGAGGTCGTCCAGCGCCAAGACGCCGACAGCCAAGTGCTCGCCCTCTGCGCCGACTACCTCTACAAGGCCGGCAAATTCAAGCAGTGCCGCGACGTCTACGTCAAGGTATCGATCTATCAATGTGTCAACTCCATCGAATCATATTTACCGCAGATTGGCAACTTTGACGCGCTACTCAAGATGCACATTGACTGCCACGAGTGGGAAGAAGCGGTTCGATTGGCACAAAAGGTACGGCGATGACTGTCGCTAGAATGGACATGCATGGTCCATCGTGTAGCACAAGGACAAGGTCAAGAACCTCGCCGATGTCTACGTGCCGTACGCGGAATGGCTCACGACCCAAGATCGGTTTGAAGATGCCCTCGGCGCCTACACGCTCGCCAAGCGACCGGAGAAGTGCATGGCGCTCCTCGACGAGCTCATTGCGTCGGCCGTCGTTGAAACCCGCTTCAAGGACGCATCGTACTACCACTGGCGCATCTGCGACGAGATGCTCGGGTCAATCAAAGCGGCGTCGCCCGACACGTTGACGGCCGACGACCAAAAGACCCTTCATTCGGCGTTATCGCACGAAGTCGACGGCAAGATTTATCATGCGTACAGCCTCATCTTTGCCTACACGGACGAGCCGTTCACGACGCTGCAGCCCGAGACCCTCTTCCACGCGTCGCGGTTCCTCCTCAACGTCATTGGCAAGGAGAAGCCACCCCCGGGCATCTCGATCGCACGCATTGCGTTTACATTGGCGCAGCACGCGCAGCAGCTCGAGGCGTTCAAGCTGGCGCGCCTGATGTACGAGCGGCTCCAGACGATGCGCGTCCGGCCCGAGTGGCAACAGACGATAGATCTGACAAGCATGGTGATTCAAACCAAGCCGTATTCGGATCGCGACGACTTGCTGCCGATCGACTATCGGTCGTCGACGACCAACCCACTTCTGCACCCGACGAACGGCGGCGACGTCTGCGTCAACTCGGCCCACCCGTTCGTGCGGTCGTTTCTGTCGTTTGACAACTTGCCGCTGGTCGAGTTTGCACCGACAGCCGACTTGAGCGACGACGAGGCGGTCGCGCTCATCGAGACGTTGCCGTCGATCCAACATGGCGAGCACGGCGACATCAACGACAAGTGGAAGACGACCGACCACGGCGGCGCGCAGAGCATGCAGCTCAACGACCAAGCGACGGACGACGAGCCGACGGGCAACTTGTTTGAGCGCGCGCTCAACAAGCAGGGCGGGCATGGTCGGGGTGCCCCGTACCGCGTGCTGCTCGTTGACGCCAAAGTGCTTTTGACAACCCAACGAAGTGTTTGTCGTGAAATACCCAACAAAAGCGCTGCGCTACAAGTACTACAAGAACATGATCCCGGATATCAAGGTGCACCTCTCGCCCAGCTGCCGCATGTTCTTCCATGACGACGACTTTGAGTTTGAGCACTTGCGCCAAGGCTGCTGCCCGTACTGCCGCGTCGACGAGTACAGCGACCACGCGTAGTAGATATCAACTTGATACAATATACGAAGTAAGAAGAGGTCGAGTATGCATGTCGTCGCGAGCGCCAATGCGAGACAACCGGCATCATCGCCTTGGCAGTCATCCTGGCACCATGACTCTTGGGGTAGCGGTGCTGCAGAGTGTCATCTCAGACGAGACGTTGTCACTCCTCGAGCGAGGCGTCTTCCAAGATCGGGTGGACATCAAGGACCAACTCGGGGGGAAAGCGCCCGGGAAGAGCCATTTCGTTAGGCAGCGCCAAGAGCCGACGACTGTCCAGCACGATGCGCGTAGCGGCTGTGATTGGAATCGGGTTGACGAGGTCGGGGGTTGGCCCATCAGCTGGTTGTTGGTGATTGAGAAAAGCTTGTACTCGCGGATGCCCATGTCGGGCGACACGAAGATGCAGAGCACGTAGCGCAGACCGGGAAAGCGGCAGTACTGGACGACCTTGCGGTCCATGCATCACCAGCCTTCATTGATGCCGACCTCAATCTTGAGCGTATGGAACTCAGTTCTGTGGACGTGGGGAGGTTTGATGGCGCCAATGTCGAGTGCTGGGCCGTAGCTGCAGTCAGGCTCGAGCTTCGGTAGCTTGTTTGCCGCTGGTTCGTGAGTCGTGTCGACGTACGCGTCGCGGCGCTCCCGGAGGACTCGATCGTATGTCCCCGTGACCTCCGGCTTCGTGGCTTCAAGCATCGCGTCGTCGATGCCCTCCGCAATGCTGCCGTGGAGTCTACCGGCCATCTCGATGAGGTAAATTGAGTCGTCTCGAAACTCAAAAAAGTGCGATTTCATCTCTTGGTCCTCCGACTCGACGTAGCGATCTCAGTCGGCCTCGGTCGCAGAGCAAACCCAAAAGCCGTCGTTGTCGATGACGTTGAGGGTGGTCTGCGCGGCTTGCCAGTCCAGAGCCTCGATCGCTCGGTGGATGGGCTGCACAGGATCGGCCGTTGTTGTCATCTTCGTCAAGCACTCGCTAGTGACCATGTTGGCAACTGACCATTGAATCGTATGAGATGGCTCGTTCTGTACTAGTATACTCCGAACAACATGGCACCCGAGCAGGACTAAAGTTTGAAGATACCGGTAGGCGCACGGCGCTAGACTCGGACTCGGGTGCGCGACACGCTCAGTGACTAGAATAAATCTACTCGACCTCAGCGACGACGTCGAAATTTCGCAATCGCGACCAGAGGCCATCAGTGTTGAACACGGCCGCGCACGCTTTCTGCCCCACGCTTGATGGAGTGATAGACACCCAGCCGCATCCGCCAATCACAGGCGCATCCAAGTATCTTTTTCAGAAAATGGGCCAATCCGATCCAAGGAAAAGTATCAATGTGGCTGAACGCAGTCGTTGGATTGTGAGTTTGCATCACTCCGCGCACATGCTTTCGATGGCATTTTCAATCGCACAGCCGAATGGGCTGCAACCACAGTACGCTGTCGTCCCGCGCCGGTGACGACGACACGGCGCGGCAGCGGGCGTCGTCGGCGCCCGCCGTGCCGCAGCCCTCGCTGCACGTGCCCTCCGTGTCGATGCGGGCGACGGGGCGCAATTCCGTGCACAGCGCCGACTGGGCCGACGCCGATACGCTCGACCCGCTCCAGATTGCCTACTACATTCCGCCCCAAAACGTAGCGCGCGTCCGAGCTATTCCGTCCTCGTACATGAAGACCGAGGTGGGGCATTGGCTCGGGCGGCCGGTGCTGCTCAAGTCGGTCGACACGACACGGTCGGACGAGGAGCAAGCGCGCATGCGGCAGAAGCTCACGGCCGAGATCCAGTCGATGGCGCGCATGAACCACCCCAACATTGTTCAATTTCTCGGTTTTTACATCACGCCGAACCGGGACGTGTGCTGCATCACCGAGTTTGCCGAGGGCGGGACGCTGCGCCACCTCCTCGACAACCGTAACGTCTTGGAGCGGCTCACGTGGGGCCTGGAGAAGATCGCACTCGCTATCGACATTGCCTCGGCGCTCGCGGCCATGCACGTGCTCAAGCCGACGCTCATTCATCGCAACGTCAAGGCGTCCAAAGTGCTTTTGACGTCCGAGAAGATCGCCAAGCTCAGCGGCTTTGGCGTCGCGCGCGAAAAGACGTTCGAGTACGACATGGCGAGCGGCGTCAGCGATTTGCAGTGGTCGGCGCCCGAGCTGCTCTTGGACGGCGAAGACTACAACGAGCAAGTGGACGTCTATGCCTTTGGGATGCTCTTGACCGAGCTCGACACGGGCGCCATTCCGTTTGCGACGGAAATGGCCTCGATGCAGCAGGACGAGCTCAGGGCCAAGATCACGGCTGGCGTCCTTCGGCCCAAACTGTCGCCGACGTGCCCGCAGGTCATTCGGAATATCGTGACGCAGTGCCTCCAGCAAGACCCGCGACTGCGCCCGCGCAGTGACAAGGTGCTCGCCATGCTCCAAGACGCCCAGATTGCCCTTGAAAAAGAATGTGAAAACGACGTACCATAATAGAACGGTTAAAAAACTAAAAGACTGCAGTGCAAGGAACGGGAAGGATGAAAGCTGATTCTGCTCTGCGAGACGCATTATTTTTTACGGCGGAAGAGATTCCAATGCCTTCAGGAGTCATTTCCGACATCGACACGATATAACATCAGTGGTTCGAGTACGGGAGCCTGCGTACGACGTCGCGCGAGCTATGACTTGGCGAGTGGGGTCCACCACGGGATGTACCTCTCCGTGTGCAGCTCACTCCCAACGATCAAGTGCTGGTGCCAACTCCCACGCATTCAGGCGTAGCGCTACGTATGCGAAGTCTTTGAGTTAGCTTTTGCTACTTTGATTTCAACGTCAACACATTTGATTGATTGAAAATCAGTTTCGTCTCAAGGTAGCGGCGGCAAGACCAAATGCCAGGACTACATTGACAGCAGCGGCTCGACATTTCACGGTGTCCGATACAGACAATGTTCTTACGTCAGAACCCACTCGACCACGCATCTTTTATCGCTGGCAATGAAGATGCTAGCATTTCCCGGCCACGACCTTATTCATTTTCATTTGAATTCCTTTTTCATTTCAGTTTCAGTGTGACCAAGACCATCATTCTACTACAGATTGCGCACACACTCTTCCTGTCCACCTGCCGGCCACATTACTGAATTTCTTGGGCTTGGTTCCAACCACCAATGCACTGGCCAATCAACAGCGCGCCAAAACATCAAGTCGAGTGGGCGGTTTTGAATCAAGTGCCAGAAGATCGATGCGTTTGGTTCATTTTCACATTGTAACTCGACACGGCACCAACATGGGCAGCAGACACTCGAAGGCAAACAAGTCCAACCCGACGACACCCAGCAAGAGACGAACGTCATCGCGTCACACGCCTCGCACGCCAACGTCAGCAACGACACCGCGCTACCTGCCTCGTACGCCAACAACGACCCCGACTCGCTACACGAAGCTTCTCAAGCCGGAGCCATCGCCGGAGCCGCCTCTTGCTACTTTCACGTTGAACATCGAGGCCCTCGCGCCGCTCCAGAGCACGTACTTTATCGCGCCAAACGAGATCGTACCGATCCGACCGATCGATTCTTCGTACTTGCGTACCGAGATGAGCAACTGGTGTGGCCAGCCCGTCCTTGTCAAGTCAGTTGACAGCTCCAAGACGGCAGCCGAACAAGACGTCATGCGCCAGAAGCTCACGGCCGAAATCACGTCCATGACGCGCATGTCGCATCCCAACATTGTCCAATTTCTTGGGTTTTCGACGACGCCGGCCAACGATTTGTGCTGCGTCACCGAGTACGTCGAAGGCCGTACGCTGCGCCACCTCCTCAACACGCCCAAGGCATTTGCCAAGCTGTGCTGGTCATCCAGCAAGCTCTCGCTGGCCATCGACATAGCCTCCGCGCTCGCGGCCATGCACGCGCTCAAGCCGACGCTCATTCATCGCAACGTCAAGGCGTCCAAAGTGCTTTTGACCAACCGGCATGTGGCCAAGCTCAGCGGGTTTGGTGCTGCACGCGACCAGACGTTCGAGTACGACATGACGAGCGGCGTGAGTGATTTGCAGTGGTCGGCGCCCGAGCTGCTCATGGACGGCGAAGACTACAACGAAAAGATCGATGTGTACGCGTTCGGGATGCTCTTGACCGAGATCGACACGGGCGACATCCCGTTTGCGACTGAAATGGCGACGATGAAGCAAGCAGAACTCGCGATGAAGCTCGCCGCCGGTGCGATCCGCCCCAAGCTCTCACCGTCGTGCCCAATGCGCATCCAAAAGATCGCGCTCTCGTGTCTCCAGCACGACAAGCACCTGCGACCAAGTATCGCCATCGTCTTGCGCCATTTGCAACAAGTGCAACTCTCGACGTTGGCGGCCCGCGGTCAGAAGTAGTCAAGTAATAGTCTCCGTTCGTTCCGTCTCAATATTTCTATTTTATTATCATACAAGAGTTCATCGGCGCCTTTGCATGTTGAAGTCATGAAATTGCACATGTGTTTTGAGACTACCGCCTTTATGCGCGACTCGAACCGAAAAGCTGGTGGTCGCAATACGACTCGCATGACGCCAAGTGTAGCTTCGGATCATGAGCGTACGTAGTGCCGTACTCGCTGCGAAACATGGCCTCGGGGCGCTGAATGCTTGGTACAGGTTGGCCAAAGGTTTTCGCGTTGCAAACCAGCGGAAAAACGTCATCGAAGTCGGGCATGTCGTGTGCCGTCTCGATGTGCACATGGCGGTCGCCCACGTTGTGCCACATATAGAGGTCCACGTACGGCGTGTCGTGCATGGATGAGTCGACCAGTGTTGCCTAAACACACCCAACTCATCAATCCCGCTGCCACGTCATGAGGTTGCACTTGCCGTGGGTGAGTATAAAAGCGCTGCGAGGGGGTGATGCGGCGCGATGCAGGCGCTATGAATGTCGCGCTTGAAGACATAGACACCGCGTGCCCACATTGCGTCCTGCAGCGCTGTCCAGTCGGTCTCGGAGGGCAGGGCGACATCCACGTCCGGTGTATGGGGGATGATGGCCTCGTCACGCCACGCCCCTGCACGCACCAAACCAGGTTACTAGGTTTAAATATCAGAGGAAAATGTACCTAGAAGGGTGCCAAAATATACAAACGATGGTAAGTCGAGCTCGTGAGTAAGCTCAAGTATGCTCTCGAGCAGTAGCTGCAGCACGGCGGATCGACAAGGCTTGCCCGGTGGCGTCTCAAAAAGCGTCGTCTTGGTACCGCGCCGGGCGCCGCACTGTTGCGGTAGCATTGGTAGGCAGTACTGCCACACTTTGCCGTCACTCACGTGGTCTGTCAAGACAGTGAGCGACGGAGCGTGGTCCTCGGTGAGGTGCAGGCGCTGAGGGTGACGCGTGTACGTTGCTAATCGGGCACTGAACTCGGTGTCGTGACGCGCCGAGCACCGCGATGCGTTGAGTACGCTGTGTGTTTGAACGCGCGGCGTGCTGTCGTCGCAGAGTGCTTTACATCGCGAGCTCGGCCCCGGGATGTCGACGTCGTGCTGTCGCATGCTCCGTGGTGTCTTGACAAACGCTGTTGGGTGCGACGGTACCGCGATCGATACGTCATAGAGCGGCAAACAGCCCAGCGGCGCCATCTCCACACGTCGGTACGGATGGCTTTTCTCCGATGCAAGGACGATCCGGTCGTCGAATGCTTGCATGGTCGACCATCGCAGATGCGGTGGCGTTGCATCCGGAGCGTCGTCACCAAAGAGAATGGTGGCGAGGGTGTGATGCGGTGCCAAGCACGTGACGCTGGCACCGGTCGCGTTGTCCTCAAAGTGGGCAAAGCCGCGCACCCAAAACCACGACGCGAGGTTCCCGATTGCGGCGTCGGTGAGCACCTACGAACGCGAACGCTGAAAACGAAGCCGGTCGCAGACGCAGGACGTACATCGATCGAGGTGCCGTCGGGGGGCAGGGTGAAATATTCTAGGAGGTGCTGCAGCGCTGGACCAATGGGCACCGCGACATGACCTTGTGCTTCGATGGCCTACGCGCAATAGTATTCAAGGGGCCGACACGGGCCACGTACGTACGGCCATTGTCGCAACGAGCAAGTGATGGACAACCGCAGACCGACACGGCGGCGACTGCGTGAAGAGCGTGTCTTGAGAGCCAGCAGCGACGCCGCAAACCACCGTGCGCATAGGAAGACAGTCGGCCCAGGACCGCTGCGCCATCGGGTCGGACGCCGCGCTCCTGTACATGCTCTATGTAGCGCCATATTGTAATACGCGCTGTACCGTCGCAGAGCTTGGAGAGGCGCGGACGGCGGGCGTTGAGCCATGGCCTCGTACTGCTCGGCGAAGGCACTCGTCACGTAGCTGCAGTCGGGGTGGCGGAGTGACACGTCATGGCTATAAAATATGTTTGTTATCCTAAATGTATGGCACGTGTTTACCGAGGCGTGGCAGTGAACTGGTGGTGCACGCAGAAAACCGTGGTCGACACCGCGATCATGCAAAGCAAGACGCCGGCGAACGTCACGCGCTGTGTTCTTCCTGCTTTCGCAACTCGCATTGGCGGTGTGTGCGGCATGGTGCAGAATCGAAAGTGCTCTACCTCGTAGGTGTTGACTGTAGACTTGCCCGAAGCACACGTCATATTAGGACGAGAGTGCTCGATACTGAGAAAGCCCCCATCGCTCATCGTGTCCAACGTACAGAGCCAAAACACCCAAAACGGCTACGTCACGATCGAATCCTATTACAATGTAGACGATGCCAAGCGGTAAAAACGCCACTTCGACGGCCGTGATTACGGCCACTCAATGTGCCGTCGCCACGAGCGAATGCAAGAGAAGATAGAAGGCTAGAACAACTGAGAGGGTGCTTGATCCGACGAAGTGTAGTCAAATCTTAAAACGACTTGATAACGATGCACTATGCGGGGAACGCCACGTAATATACCACTGACAAGATAACGCACTATCCGCTCCTATATAGGCTACTACGTAACCGAATGTCAACTTGGCTAGGAACCCTACCCCGCTTTCAAATTTCCGAGGCCGGACACTCGACCAGTCGCGATCTGTGCAAACCCGAAAACGTCTCATTCGCTGCTAGTACCGGTACTACTCTGGTACGCGTACTAATAACTGCGATGCGTGGTACCCTTTCACACAGTAGGTGCGTTGGTTGAACCCTCCAAGGCCTCTTCCAAGGCCGCCCGAGCCATTTGGCCCCGAGCTGCATCGCATCCAAGTCCTGCGAATGACCTTGGCGTCCGTTGTTGCCGCATTGCCAGGGCTCGTGTACTGGTACGCATAATAGTGTAGTTGGTGCAACTTGACAACGACAAACGCTGTCAGTCACTGAGGCGATGATGACGAGGGTGACTGTTGAATGATCGATGCATCCCAAACCGTGTCGCTTGTCAGCAAGTAGTTTTGGCATTTTGCCAATAGCTGTGGGGCACTAAATGTAAAAGCGAGCTCCTTTTGCACGCCGACCCGAAAAGTGGGCTCTGTCAAAGCCCCTCGTCTTTCGTTGATGTACAGAGTAGCCCTCGCACGCTGCGCAGAGGTGAAGCCCCACGTTCTCCCGTACGCTGACCGCCGACCGAGGGCTCGAAGAGCGTGGGCAGCTTTGTCGT